ACTAAAAATTTTACACTTAATAGTTAATTATACCTCTGTACCAATCAAACATAAATTTCTAGATCATATCAAGATTGTTAATTATGAAGATTCAATATAATATGATGTCCTTTCCATGGATATTGCTCACATTTTGGTAGAAATAAATTGGTTATTTGACATCAGTGGCATTAATTATGGTACAAAAAAATACTCTACTTTCAAATAAAATAATAAATCTAGTAAACTCCTACAAGTCAATCATACAGAGGACATCTATTATAGAACCTCAAAAGATAAATTTTGATTTGTAACCCAACCACAATCCAACGAAAGATGCTATGCCTAAATTGATACTTATATGAAACCCTGCATCCAACAATGATATTGCCAATAATGATCTTAATTCTAACACCATTATTCTACAAATTCTATAACCTCACTAATATAAATTGTAGGATATGAAACTTTAAAAAGATATTTTCTAATCGGATTAGTCTTCAATTTTTTCATGTAAGAATTAAAAATCATAAAACTTTTGTGGCATCTACACTCTTATCTAATTTATATTATGCACTTAGGAAAATATTTAACCCAATCAGAAACATTCTTAATAATCAAAGGATGTTAATATGTAGAAAATCAACTCGACATCCCTAGATCATCTTTTGTGGAATTTTCAATTTAGAGCTACATTTAGGAAAAAATGATGGTCATTCTGGGCAAGAGAAAATAATATGATAAATGGAAAGTTAATTATTTTGGCCTTTATTTAAGAAATATGTTAAAAATTAGTCACTCAATGTACAACCTATACACAAGCTAATTTTACAAAATAAAAATCTGGCTCATAAATTGCTTTACCCGTATCTTATTGCCCTTGGGAAGACCAATTTTTGTCCCATACAACTTCATGAAGTGATATTATTTTTTTGTTCATTGATATGTTTTTTGGACTCATTTTTGTTTGAGGTCAAATTCTCCCTTCATCATAAATCCTTAGTTCTTAGGTCTTCTTAGCCTAATTAGAGCTAAAATATGAGGACTCTTCGGTGAAACCTATGAAATGAGTTGAAGGACAAACATAGGTCTTAAGTTGTTACAACCTAGCCTAATATAACCCATAGACTTGATAGATCATATCATGTTGAATGGTTGCAAGCCAAGCCTAAGATTAAGTATTGTGAACTTTTTAAATTTATTTTAATAAAATTAAACATGTCATAGAGCTTCTAATTAACTTCCAAAATGCAAAAAAAAATATAATCATTAATAAATTTACATTCTTTTCGATCATCAATATGGTGTCTCTAAAATCATTATACACTATAATGCATGACTTTAAATCAGAATACAGAAAATAAAAAAAATAAGTAGGCATAAATATATAAAAATTTCAAAATGACTATAACAACTTAGAAAAAATAGAACATAGAGCTATAGCTTCTCAACTTGTTCTTTCCCCTTTCCCTGATCGAAAATAGAATGCACATGAGTCAACATTGCCAAGTAGGTCACAATCACCAATCTAAATTTCCAAAACGTTCACTTATTATGCATTTACTTGAGCTTTAAAATTAGTTAATAATAACTCATTGATGTGAAGTGAATATTGCTTATAGTTATTAAAAAAAAGAATAATACTTGGATAGTAAATATTTAAGTACTTAATATATCATAATAGATAAATTTGATTTCCCTCAGACATTTATACCTCTCATTAGAAACATATGTTGCAACCTGGGCTTCCGAGTTTATGATTTTGATGATAACAAATAATTTTGATTAATCTTTTATTTCTCCTAGTGTTTGTAGTGCATATTTGCTAGCGTGTTGACTAATATTTAAGGTACATCATGCTCCGTTCTTTGAAGATTCAAGACTCAAGATTGTATAGAATTTGTTATATTAAAAGAGTATGTAATTTTCATTTCTTGAGTTAAGCTTGTAATGATGTGTGTTAGATTGGTGATCGTGCCCACATACAGGAAGAGCAAAAAATATTTTTTAATATTTTAATTTTTCTATACATCATACTGTATGATCTGGTATAACAGAAATTAATTAAAATATTTTATTTTCTAGATAAAAATATTTTTAAAATATTACTAATCGTAAAGTACAATTACCATATCATATTGGATGATATGTTTTAATTAGAAAGCTCACTGTCCATTAAATTATTATGCAAAAAATTGAATTTGAAAAGTTGTTCTAATCGTACTATACGAACATGATTGTATTGTTTGATGTTTAAAATATTACCTAATTTAATCCTATGATTAGTCAATCAAAACAGCTTAATTTTGATATTTGATCGTACTGTATGAACTGAATCATACTGTACGATCAACATAGACAATTTTGGCCATCCCATGCTTTGTCCTTGATGAATTGCATTTTTATTGAACTGTTCGTACAATACTATTTGGACATTGTATAGTACGAACAAGCAAATTGAATTGTTTGTATAGTACTAACTAGTGATCATACTGCAATTTTATTGAACCGTTCATATAGTACTAATTGGACATCATACAATACAAAAAGGCAAATTGAATAGTTCAAATACCAACTGGTGATCGTACAGTACCAACAGGTCAAATTCTGCACATCATGTTTGGACAATCCTGCGATCATAATGTATGATCTTTAACAGATAAAATGATATTTTAGGGTTTTTGAAGCCCTCTATTTAATCTTTCACATAAGACTTTGTAAGAGTTTTTTTATAGCAATTGAAGCTTCATTTTTTGGGATAAAATTTGAAGAGAGAAATTGAAAGGGAGAGAGGAAATGGTGGAGTTTGAGAGTTGGAGAATATCCTTGGAGGGGATTTCACACGGTTGCTCCAACAAGCTTGTAACTCAGTACCATCAAATTTAATGTTCATCCTAAGAGAAGTTTTGGGATAAAGAAGATCTCCTTGGTATCAAGGACCTGACTCCTCCGCCACACCAAGGAAGGTTGAAGTGATTTTGTAAGGGCTTTTTCGTCTAGCTATGGGAGCTAAATGAGATTTACTAAAGGTTTAGTGCAATACTAAGAGGGTGTCTCTGGGGAGTGGACGTAGGTCAAGTTTTGACCGAATCACTATAAATCTGGTGTGTTCTTTCCTTTATTATTTTTGCATTTATTTTTATTACGATTAACTGCATGGGTGAAATTGATAATTTATCTTTTTATTGTGAATGTAATTCGCTTCCGTATAAAGTTATAAAAAGATATTTCTTTTCCTTAAAAAAGATTTTAAAATATCCAATTCACCCCTCCCCCTCTTCGCGCATCTCGTACATTCAACATATATGACAATTTTGGCCCTTATGACACCGTATTCTAGCATATTATAAAATAGGTCCTTATGTATCTCAATGCTTAGTATATATTAGATACTCATAAATTCAAATCCTTATAACTCCATGTGTATCTGGCACAATAAAACTTCCTTTAATGTATAGGCTTAAAAAAAATCACACATTTCAAGTAGATAAGTATATATATTATTATCTTGTCGATAAAGAAATATAAATATATCAGAAAGTACTTTATTAGTAGGGAACATACCTAACTACTGAGAAAAAAATTATAATTTCAAGATTTTTCTAGATTATAAAAGATTATTCATAATGTTATTTTGAAGCTTTAATTATACTACAATATTATTTTATGGGAACATAATTTTTTTTTAAAATTGATAAGAATAATGTACTTTTTAAATAATCCAAAAAAAAAGAAGAATACTTAAATATTTAGAATGGTTATATTTACAACATATAAAAAGTTACATAGTGAAGGTTTAGCGAGTGTAAAGTTATCCTTATTTTTATACTACAAAAATAAATTTAATTAGGGAAAACCTAGAAATTTTATATTTTTTAAAAATTGAGATCGGCAAAATGTAATCTACCTTGATTTGGAAAACTTTATAAATTGGATTGATAGCATAAATTGGACTTTGGTCCCTCAAAATGAACTTTCTCTCTTTGAAATCCTTCTATATATATCCAAAGATATAATTTTAATAAAATGAGAAAGAGAAAACTGATTTTTGTTTTATAAAAATTTGATCAAGCATCACGAACCTCAACCCTCTGGGCCATAGCACTCCCCACTAGAGAGAATGCCACTATAGTTCTTAACCATAGTGAGATAGAATTAATTAATTTTTTTCCAAAAATTATGGGAGAGCTTATGCCATAGCTACGTAAATCAGTGCCATGCCACTCCTAGGGAAAATTTTTAAAATTTTCATGGTTGCACACAAACCCATATGACTTTCTTTTATAGTTTTTTACACCCACTTACATATTAAACACTCATAGATACTTGTAGAAGGTATAAATGCAAAGATTTAAGTTTGTTACTGTCACCAATTTAGGTTAGACTAGGTATAACTATGTGTTACCATAATAGATATTATAATCCTTCCCTCATCAGAAAAATGTTACTATGAATATTTTAAAGGGGTTTTTACATACATAACACTTAAAACTATCATAATTACTTATTTAACACCTAAACATTACTATTTACATACATACCACCTAAATTCCATCGTTCTCCTAAAAAATACCACTCCGTTAACTCCGTGCAAAATCGATGAAATCAATGGAAAATCGCCGGCCTTTGACGTGCTTCGCCTCGTCGTCTCGGCTTGTTCTTCATCCGCCTGACCTCGTCCACTGGGTTCGTAGAGAAGGCGGCTTCGTTCACCCCAAGCTCAGAATTGCAAACCAAGGGTCCGATGGCTTAGGCAGTTAGGCGTATCCTCTCTCAGCAAAATCCTTGCAGGAGAAGACCTCATCACCCTTCCCAGCCATATCCCGTTGCGATTCCAGCGTTCTGACGAGCGTGATTCCGTCTTGAATCAACTAAGTGGGAAAATTCCAGGTAATGGTTATTGCAGATACAAATAAAATCAGATTCCGGCATAAAATCACATTTGTATATTTTTATTTGCAACTTTATCATTTCTCATTGATACAAATAAAATCAGATTCTAGAAATGATGCCAAATGAAGTTATTTGCAACTTTTGTTCTGAAGCTCATAGTGCAGGAAAGCTTTCGACATAGTCATGCTCTGAACATTAACGAGTCCGGAGAAGTCCGGCAGAGGTCCGGAGAAGGAGTTGGAGTGTAGCCAGAGCTCTTCCAAACCAGTCATGCTCTGAACAAACGCGATGCCACCGGAGAGGGAAGCGACGGAGGAGAGGGAAGGAAGATCACCAGATATCTCATTAAACTGAAGATCCAGGCGAGTGAGGGCGGTAAGGTTAGCGATGTCTTTGGGGATGGTGCCGGTGAGTCTCTGGTTTCCGATCTGGATGGCAACGATGCGGCATCGCGTTGCGTTGCGGCGACATCGTCGACATCGCCGTCGTCCGTTTGCGCCGCCGAACGCAGGATAATCGTTCGCACGGAGTTAACGGAGTGTTATTTCTAGGAGAGTAATTGTATTTAGGTGGTATGTATGTAAATAGTAATGTTTAGGTGTTAGATAAGTAATTAGGATAGTTTTAAGTGTTATGTATGTAAAAACCCCTATTTTAAAACATAGATCAGAGAAATAAACCCTGTTATAATTATCACTTCTCAGACCCCACCTAAGTGGGTTCTCTTTTTGTCCTTTGCTTCCACTACACCTTTAACATTGTGATTTGCTTATTACTTAATTTTCTATTCTCATAGCCATGTATTTTTTCTAGTTCATCTCCAAAAGTCAGATTTAGACACACTTCAACTTCATCTATCTATACTATATTCCCTGAGTTAGATAACCATTTCCTTCGAGATATTACATAGAATAGATTAAGAATTTTAGATATATGCTCTGACAACTATGATTTTTAAGTAGACTTTATAATCCTTAAATTATTTCAAATGTTCAAATATACCTTGGGCCCTACATTTTTTCCTTTATAGACCTTCTTATGCCCTTCCCCATTATGGTCATCACATATAAAGAGTTTCCAACATTGAAATTTTGGAGGCTAGCCTAATTTTTTTTATGATTACAAATAGTATTGTCTTGAATATTTACTTATTTCTATTTTATATACATTATTTATTTCTTTTGTGTCAGTAATCATTTTAGAAAAAAAAAAAAACAAAGTTGTGTTAAAGAATAAAACTCAAGATAAAGTAGCATTAAGTTCTAAGTTATTTTCTTTTCTTTTTTACTTGAGTTATTTAGTTTATTAGGTTTATGTCGGCAAGATAACATAGCACACACTCAAAAGGGGATGAAAATTGAATATTTAAAATTTTTTATTATATTATACTACTTGATATTAATCATACTATACAATCTATTTAATAAAAAATTAATTCAAGTATTTAAGTAAATATAATAAAATTGAGTTATAACTAATAATATTGGATGCCTTCAATTGCACAAAATAATCAGCTATTTTAATAAATTATGTTTTCTAATCTATATAACATAAGTTAGACAAATTTGAATTTAAAATTTAAACTTGTCATACCTTAATAATAATTTCATGTTGTACGATCATATATGAAAATTATTGAAACAATATTAAACTAAGACTATACTTTTCTTTTGCTTTTGGTTTATAATATTTATTTTTGTAAGAGCTTATGCACATTACTCTATTTTTAAGAAATTATTTTCATAATACTAATTCTCCTCCACTATGTGTTCCATACATACTTTCATCCAACGTAAAATTTCATAGATTGATGTTTTGAATCATAATATAGTTGCTACCATTCATGCACCATTTCTATTGTATCTCTAATAAGATGAACTTTTTAATTTTGTTGTTAACCAAAGCTTCCCCAATCAAACTCCTCTCAAACATTTCTATCCAAGATCGCCAAGTCTTATCATTCCTATAATTAAATGTTTCATTAGGGGTCATACCTTTACTTGAATTTAAAACTATTATTGTAAGCAAATTTGACCAGAGGTATATGACCCTTTCATCCTCAACAAAATTCTAGAACACATAATCTTAGAATGACTTCCAGTACCTAAATAGTTTTCTCAATATATGTGTCAGTATACTGATAAAAACCCATACTTAAATGTTATTTAGTGCCAAGACAATACTAAATGCCTTACTAAATCTTAAAATTAAATATACCATAAATTTTTCACCTTTAGTATTCCATGTAATCAGATAATTTATCACATATGCACAAATGCCAATCTTTCCACTAAATTAGCCTTTTGGATTAGAATAAAATGTATAGACTTCATTAGATGGTAAACCATAATGATTAATTAATAAATCTCCCATAGTTTTAGATTATCATTAATTCTAAGGGTTGGTGATAGTGCTTTTATTTTTCTTTAATTGGAAATTTAATTATAAGCATTTTGAACCCTAGTTTATACTTTTTAAATTTAATTTGAATTATTTATGATTTAATTTAGGTCCTTTTTTTTAACAAAACATGAACTTCAAGCAGCCAAGTGTCCACTCAGAGACATCTCCAGGAACACAGAAACACAAATGATTAGTAGCACTAATAAGTTCTAGACAACCACATATAAACAATACATAAATATATCTCCAAGATCTAAACAATGCATCACATATAAACAACAATATATAAAGTTTTGAAGGATAGAATCTCATATCGGTTTAAAAAAAAACACAGTTCAATGAAAAACATCACAGCTGGTCCTCCATAACTTCCATAAACATAAATCACTTATCTCGTTATTTACCGAAATTCATTTAGAAGACACTTTCCGACATTAGCATGTCCTCAAAGCTCTAAAGGTTCATGAAATTGATCCCATTTTGAGTCATATCACTACCAAGAAGGAAATCAAAGCATAGATCTGAGCTTCCTTCAAGAAATGGCCCGAACTTCATATATGACTCAAATGCTGGAACTTTTATTAGGTCCGGTCACCGGATGTGGCTTTACGTTCGGTTGCCACTCATATACTGCCACGTAGCAGCTTGAAAACCCGACCCAAACCCATCGTGATTTATTGATTGGTCACGTGTTTCACACCATTTTGGGTCACCCCAACGTACTTTATCTTAAACAGACAGGAAAAGATAAAAACCAGCGCATTCTTTATATGTTTAATAAACTTTTGGCTGATTATGGTCTGAAGACGTTATACAGTGTTTAGGGTTTACAGCACGAAGATAAATTTTTTGTGAAGGGTTCAAGGAGATGGAAGAGAAGACAACGGCTATTTCTTTGGAAGAGTTATACGATTTCGATAAAACATTTGACACTTATAATGTCGATGAAGATTTTTCTGTTTTTATAACATAGTGAGGGGATTGTGACTTTGGTCGATCAAGTCATTAATAAGAGTACACATTTTAGATATCTTAGATCTGTTGTTCAGAGTGATGGTGAAAAAGATTGAGATATTATCAGCAGAATTAAAACGACAACCTTCCGATGACCCGGTTAGGAGAGTTGAGGTATTATATTTGACTTATGTTAAGAAAGGTAGGGGTAGACCTAAAAAGAGTTGGTTAGAAAATATTAGGAATGACCTTTCTTTATTATATTTAAATGAGAATTTGACTTTTAATAGGACACAATGGAGAAAAAGGATTCATGTAGCCGACCCCACGTAGTGGGATAAAGGCTTGATGTTGTTGTTGATACAAGTAATTTATTATTTATACAGAGGTTTTACAATATAAATTTTTAAAATCTAGCTACGTGAAATTTCTTATTTATTACACGTAGTGGGATAAAGGCTTGATTTTGTTGTTGATACAAGGATTCATGTAGCCGACCCCACGTAGTGGGATAAAGGCTTGATGTTGTTGTTGATACAAGTAATTTCTTATTTATACAGAGGTTTTACAATATAAATTTTTAAAATCTAGCTACCTATGATCATTTATTTCTGTTTATCCATGAGTACCATATTCGTAGCGATAGAGAAGGTTGGAGTATTTATTGGTACACATATCGTATTGTTGGATACTTATAGATATTGCTCGGTATGTTCCTTTTTTTGTTTGTTTACGTCGATAATGTCTACCTTGTACCGAGCTTATAGATAAGTACCATAGATGTACCGAGATAAAAAAAGTTCAACATAAGTCGGTATAAGTCGGTACTGATCGGTATTTATAAGTTCTTTGTACCTAGCTTAAAGATAAGTATCATATGTGTACCGAAATAAAAAATTTCTACATGTCGGAATAAATCGATACTGCTCGATATTTATAGGTTACTTGTATCGAGCTTATAGACAAGTACAATACGTGTACCGAGAAAAAAAATTTCTACATAATTCGGTATAAGTCGGTACTGATCGGTATTTATAGGATCCTTGTACCGAGCTTTTAGATAGGTACCATATGTTTGTACCGAGATAAAAAATTTGTACAAAACTCGGTTTAAGTTGGTACTGATCGGTATTTATAAGATCCTTGTACCGAGCTTTTAGATAAGTACCATATATTTGTACCGAGCATTTAGATAACTCGGTATTGCTTGGTATTCATAGGTATTGCTCGGTATTCATAGGTATTGCTTGGTACGCTCATTTTATTTGTTTGTTTACGTCGATTATGTTTACCTTCTACTAAGGCTATAGATAAGTACAATAGGTGTACTGAGAAATAATGTTCGAAAAAACTCGGTATTGCTCGGTATGCAGTCATTGCAGTATTGCTCGGAATTAATTGTTTGGTTCAATAATTTATAATACTTTGAATTATTTGTTCATAGGGGGTTTACAACTCTTAAAAGGAAGCATATGATAAATATTGCTAATATGCTCATTCTCATGATTTTAGTGTTCGAAAAGAGAATAATTTATTCTGGCCTAATTCAAGGAAAATAAAATCAAAATATTTTATATGTTTCAAAGCGGGATTTAATAAGGAGACAGAAGAAAATAAGAACGTGAAATTTCAAAAATTGACTACAAGAACTGGATGTCCGGCTATGGTTAGATTTAAGGTTAGTGAAGATGGAATATGGATGGTGAAAAGATTGGCAGAGAGCCACAATCATGAATTGGCTAATCCAGATGATCAACATTTGCTGAGATCATCTAGGCACATCAGTGAAGAAAATACCTCAGTTCTGAAATCAATGTCTAAAGCGGGCATAAGAATAGTTAATGCATTTTTCTATCTATCCGATGAGGTGGGAGGTGTAGAAAATGTGGGTTCACAAAGAGGGATGCATAGAATTACATTCAAAAGGAGAAAAGAGCCAGAATTGAGAGTGGGGATACCAATTCGCTAATCAAATTATTTAAAGACCGGGCAGCTGGAGACAACATGTTTGCATGGGATGTCCAAACTGAAGAAGAAGACAGGTTGGTAAATTTTTTTTTTGGGTTAATGGGTTGAGGAGAATTGATTACGACTACTTTGGGGATGTCATTATTTTTTATACAAGTTACCGTCTTAACAAATATAATTTAGCCCGTGCCCTTATTATTGGAGTTAATAATCATTGGCAAAATATTATATTAGGGGTGGCATTTCTATCTAAGGAAATAATTGATTCTTTTTCCTGGATATTTAAAACATTTTTAAAAATTATGGATAACAAACATCCAGTTACTATATTCACTGATCAGGATCAAGCAATAGCTAGGGCGATAGAGATTGTATTACCTAATACACGGCATAGGTTGTGCCAATGACATATATACAAGAAGGCTCCTTCTAAAGTATGGTGTTTTAATAGTATCAACAAAGTAAAAGGCCTATTTTATAGTTGCTTCAACAAGTGTGATTCTGAGGAGGAGTTTGATAGTTTGTGGAATGAAATGATCAGAGAAGGCAACCTCCAAAGTCATCAGTGGTTAAAAGATCTATACAGAATAAGGGAAAAGTGGTCTACAATATTCAATAAAAATTATTTTAACCTTGGTATTTTATCTACACAACGAAGTGAGTCTAGCAATTATGTTTGCCATGGCATTTCAAAGGCTACAAGTTTTATCACCGACTGTTTCCTGGGATTGGAGAAAGTTATAAAAACTTGGCATAGGAATAAATGAGATGAAAATTTTAGATGTAGCCAAACGACAATACAACCTTACATGAAAAGTAGTCCAATATTAAAGCAAGCTGCTAATTTTTATTCGAGAAAGTTATATACATTTGTTGAAGATGAGTTCTTACATGGTCTAGGTGGACTATGCATTGATCATTCTTTACTGGACTTATCAACATTTTTCATCAAGAACATAGACCACTATGTTGATTCACACAAGTGGACTGTTATTTTTTTAATTTTTCTGAAGGAACCATACAATACAGCTGTGTAAAGTTTGAGATGATGGGTTTACTATATTCTCATTGCATGAGAGTTCTGAGGCAATTGGATATTGTTAATATTCCTAAAAAATATTTTATTCTATGATGGTCGTCTAGAGCTCGGAAAGATTTATATAGTGGATGGAAGATCTTACATATTGGAAACAATATGTGCACATCCATTCAGGGTTCGCGTAACATGATTTTTTGAAATTATGTTTGTCGATTTGCATATCAAATTAGCACATAAGCACAGTGTAATGAGGATACAGAACAATGTATGATTGACGCTATGAGGGTAATGGCTCTAAATGTTCAAAACATTATGGAAGGGAAAAAATCAACGCATACTTGAGGGGAGCCATAAAATAATTAGAGATCATGCGAAGTGTCGGCCAAAGAAAATCTCTGATGCTAGATTAAAGGATCAAAGAGCAAAAAAGTGAAACTCACAGAGAGGAATCCTAGTACAAGCATAAATTTTATACTAGGAGAAACAAGAAGTCAGCCATCCTTTATGTAACTGCTCAGTATAACTCGGTATTGCTCGGTATTAGACAATTTTTGACTTATTTGAGAAATATTTTTTCATAAGGTTGGATTGTAAGTTGCACTCTGTTTGACTTATGCATCTTCTTACAAATTTTAAAAACAAATCTGAAGTTTTTAAATAACTCGGTATTAGTAGGTTTTACTCGGAATTGGACTATTTTTGGCTTATTCGAGAAATATTTTTCTATAAGGATGGATTGTAAGTTGCACTCTGTCTGACGTATGCATCTTTTTGCAAATTTTAAAAATAAATCTGGAGTTCTAAAATAACTCGGTATTAATTGGTATTACTCGGAATAGGACAATTTTTTCCTTCTTTCTAAAAAAATTTGCTATAACGTTGGATTGTAGGTTGTTTTCCGTCAGATGTATGCATATTTTTTTTATTTTCAAAAACTAATCCTGAGTTTTTAAATAACTCGGTATTAATAGGTATTACTCGGTATAGGATGATTTTTTGATTCTTTGAGACAAGTTTTGCTATAAGCTTGGATTGTAAGTTACACTGTCTGATGTATGCATCTTTTTGCGTCTGATGTATGCATAAGTTGTAATTTACTATGTACAACTTTGTATTAGCATGTATTAATCGGTATTAGCTGGATTTTGGCTTTATTAAGAAATATTTTGCTATAAGTTGCAATTTTCTAAAATCAGTATAAATAAAACCATTGTAACTTATTTATAATCACAACAAAGAAAACACATATATGGCTTATGCAAATTCAAATTTTATTTCATATTGCTACAAAAAAGGGCATATACAAATTCAGCCCTAAGCATAGCCATATTTCTTTGCCAGTTCTTATGGATATACCATTGAATAAAATCATCTTGGATTATTGTTTCCATATATTTACAAACAAACATTCCACAATCCACGTTGCTGTCTTGTGTTGGCAAGTTCAGAATCGTTAGGATTGGCCAGGTTCGTATATCATCATCATAAACATTTTGTGTATCAGCGTATAAATGAGATATCTGAAAATGTAATAAAATTAATATTTTAATATTCAATATCATAATTGAAAGCAAATACAAATTTTAAGAGCACTTACAACTTCAGGAGCCATAGCTTTGTGAGTGGCATTGGGTAATGAATCCAAAAATTTTCAAGTTTTTTTCCTTAGATTGCCAACTAGGAGTGTCCAGTGTTTTTCATTTATAATGGGAACAAGGATCATGTTAACATTCTTAACAGAAGTTCTGGTGATATTTGCAACGAATGTAGTTGTGTTCGTCTCCTTACATTGACATTAATAACCCTGGAATAAATACACTTTAAATTGCGTATTTGTTCAATACACATAAGTTCTTAAATACAAATGATAACTCACCCAATTAAAACTAGAAACAAAGATAAAAGATTGGTTCAGTCCTGGGATCAGCTCATTCTTTTTGGATAATAACATTGCAAATGGATCAATATGATTGTTGTCAAGCTCTTCTACTAGCAACAACTCGTCCAATTGGCTTCTGTATATAATTGTATTTCCATCAGAGAAAATAGTATCACCCCTGCATAATTCAGTTGATATTCATTAGAAAATAAAAATATACATATGAATATCGAGCAATATTGAGAATTTTTATACTCGATACATGTCGGTATTGAATATATCTACTCGGTACTTGGTGTTCCTACTATGCGCTAAATAGATAAACTATAAATACTGAGCAATACCGAGTTTATCTTTTATTCGGTATTGCTCGGTATATGGTATTAAACTGGTTAGAATTACACCATTATAAAGTATAGTAAAATATTTATTGGAAACTTATAATAACTGATCAATACCGAGTTAATTTTTAATTAGGTACAGCTCGGTATTTAAATTATCTATACTCACTTATCCTTGAACTGCTTAAGAAAATTATCGATGAAAATTCATTTTTCTTCAGTTATTAGTAATCATCCTGGGTACTCTAACAATTATGGTGTTGATTGTTCAAATATTTTTGATTCATCAACTTCATGAACTACAGCAGTCGGAGGATCAACCGGAACAGTTACAGTACTAACCTTCATTTTAAAATTTTCAACTTCAGAGATATTAACATCATCTAGAGCAGCAGCAGTAGCCTTTTTTATTAATCTTGTAGAAGCGTGAGTGGCAGGCTTTCTTCCTCTACGTGCAATTTCTTTTTTACTAATCTTTTCAACAGCAGGAACAGCCAAATGAACAAAAGTACTCTGAGATATCTTCTTCTTCCTGTCCCCTGATGTGAATGGATTTTTAGCCCTTTTCCTTTTTCTATCATTCCTGAGCTGTACACGTCAAGCAATTCCTCCCCTATTTGATGAAGAAAATTCCTAATCTTCAGATTGCCTCACAACCTCTTCCATCCCTTTCAAATGTGATTCTTTTGCAATTTCCTCAATAATTTGATCGACATATTTGGCTACTTCATCCAAATTGATATGGCCAGATACAGTCCTTGAAGATGATTTCTCCGGACTTTCACTCCGATTTGATTTGAAAGAGGTAGGAAAATTATCACTCAAGAATTTATATATAACAGCAAATTTTATTTTATTCTCATCTTTATGTCGAATACTGCTTGTTCCAATGCTACTACCTGTCTTTAAAGTAAAGTATTCGACAGTTCGACAGATGACACTTTTTTTACCAAAACGTTTTGCTAGGTTATATGTTTGTAAATGGATTGATTTAGAATCTTCAAGTTCATTTCTTCAGTAATCAGATGATTTGGATTAAGTTATGGGAAAAATTCTTTATGTGGGGTCTTGCTGTTGCTTGGCAGTTGGATAGGAGATTCAGTTTGGCTTGGCGGTTGGATAGGAGATTCAGTGGGGCTTGACATTCTAGTTGGGCTGTCTGGAGTTGGAATACTTGGTGGAGATGGAGTTAGGGGCTTAGAAGATATGTGAGTGGTTGTGTGTGGAGTAATTACAATTTGTAGATGCTCTTCTGTTGGATATATAGAAGAACTCTGAAGTAAAGTCTTCTCAGCATCTGTAATTCTTTGTAAATGTGTGGAAATCTGCACAAGATGTGTTTATAGTCATGAAAATTATATAAATAAATCTGAAATCTAAGTAACTATACGTATGTTTGCTACCTTAGTATCTTGAAGGTCGGTTAACAATTTGTTAACATCTTTTTCTCAATAATTAAATTTTCCGTCCCAACGAATGAGACGGGGTCGAGCAACATCATCCACTACGCGGTGGAAATTTGTATGTTCAAAAAACCATATCTGTAATTAAATAAAACACACAATTAAATGTTATAATAATAAAAAAATGAATTATCAATAGTATAAGTAAACAAAATAAAACCATATATGTAGTAAATACTCACAATTATAATAATTACAAAACCATTGACATATCCTAATGAATAACCTTTTGAATATTTTTTTTGCAGTTGCATTAAATTCAATCACAAGGAAATCCCTAATGGATTGGGGCCAGTTGTATGTTCCAAAGTTTTCAAAATTGTTTGCAACGTCCAATATTGAAGATGGTACGCGGAAGTTGACCATTGGAAAGAAGATGTTCGACTGTAAGTAAACAATAAATTCTTTCACTACTTTCTCTACTGGAGTAGGCACATCCAATTTCTCAATATCTTGCCTTACATTATTTGCTGTCACTCCACTAATCGTAGCACTACCTGGCACAAATTTATTTCCTCTGTTTGGCAACCCATGAATCAAAGCTATTTTATCAAATGTGAAAGGCATCATTTTCCCCTTAATAAAAAAACATTTAGACTGAATGTCCCAATTCATCAATAACATATAAACAATTGGAACATTCTGAGGGAATCGAGGCAGTAATAGGAACTGATTAATATTTAGCTTCCGTAGTCTTGATACTAATGGCTCCCCAAATTTTACAACCATCTCATTACAAACTTCTCTAAAACTTGAAGTTCGACATCTGAAATGAATTTTGGGGCAATATCCCTGCATGATAAAGAATAAAAAACAGAACTTCTATAAATACCGAGTTATAACTTCAAGTACCGAGTAGTTTTGAGTAATGTATCAAACCTAATACCGAGTATTTATTTTGAAAAAATTAGCAATAAAGATAAATACTGAAAAGTACCGAGCAGTTCTGAAAAGTACCGGGCAGTACCGAGAAGCACCGATTAGCACCGAACAGTACTGAGCAGCAACGAACAACATATTATATATAAAATATTAAGAGATTTATTCTAAATACCGAGTATTAACCCTGAATACTGCGCTGTACCCAGAAGTACCGAGAAGCACTAATCAGGGCCGAACAGTACCTAGCAATACCGAGTAGCAACGAACATTATATTATATATATTAACTCTGAATACCGCGCTGTACCGAGCAGTACCGAGTAGCACTGAACAGTACCGACCAGCACCGAATACCGATTAGTATCGAGCATTACTTCATGAACTCAGATTGATTTGAAACGTTCTCACAGTATACATTCAAATTTTTATACTAAAAAAGAATCTTAGTAAGTAAACCCTAACCCTAAAAACACAATTTAGTTTTTTTTTAACCAGATTACCTATCTAACAAGAATGAAAGTACTTCGGAAGAAATTTCTAACCTCAGGCATTGCTTCTATGGAGATTTTTGACTGGAAATTTGCTTCAAACTCACGACAAATTCTTGAGAACTAAGAAGGAAAGGAATAGTTGCACAAGTCGCTTCGTCTTTGCATCTAGTATAGCGAAATTAAAATCTACAGGGTAGGAATATATATATTTAAAATATAACCATACCGTGATGGGCTGGTTGTCGGGTTATCATGGATTTAAATTTCGAACGTGCGACAAACCCACTATTCACCGGGTCGGGTCCACAGTTTTGTGCCTGCTACGTGGCGCGTTCTCAGCGCTCGTTGAACGTAGCTCTACGTCCTATCATCGGACCAAATAAAAGTTCCAAATGCTGACAGCTCCTCAGAGAGTTTCATTACAGCATCCTTATCAGTTGAAACCACCTCACCAAAATTGCTTTTGAGTTTCTTCCTTGGTGCATATTCTTCCATGAATCCAGATTCATGGTATTTAAAAATTGAAGGAGGATCAGGGGAGTTCACTTTGGCTTTTTAACACCAAATTCTACATGCTGCATCATCATAAGCTCTGGCAGCCTCCTCAGGAGTGTAAAATGTAACAACCTACACCCTCTCTCCTTTGCGACGATCTCGAATCTAAGCTGCCCACTTGTGTGACAACCGATTCTATTGCGGATCAATGGTTTATGATTTTGATGATAGTAAATATTCTTAATTCTCTACGGCTGCCTTATGTACTGACATTTCAGGTTCACACGATCGGACTACAATTTGTAATCAGCTCAAGATTGGGTAGACTAGGTCTTAGTTAATTTGTATATTTTTTCCTTTCTTGAGCCTATTGTATTTGGTGTGGCTCATAATGCTTTGTAACTTAGAAGATTTTCTAACTATTCCCTAGAGTTTACTATTTTTGGTAACATCATCTGGGACGATATTTATATCAGCCTGGATGATCTGTTCAAAAGCAGAAACCCTAATTAGGGCATCCTTATTAAAGCAGCCGTCATTATGCAAAACACATCATCCTGGATGTTTTGTATCAGCCAAGATGATAGGCTCAAAATAAAAAGAATCTGCCGCCAGATCTATTTAGGAATTACTTATTTTTGGATATCGTCCGGGTGGATCGTCCAGGACTATAAAATATCGTCCAGGACGATCCAGGACAATTTTTCTAAAATTTCTCTAGAATTTAAGGAAAGCAATTATGACTTTATTACATGATAAAATCATCCTGGACGATCGCAGAATCGGCCAGGACGATCTGCTAGACGATTGGACATCAGATAGCTATTTTTTAGGAAGATGTTCAGGATGATATTCCACAATTTGTTCTGATCATCAAGGATGATATATTATCGTCATGGATGATATTTACAAACTTCTTCTGATCGTCTCAAATCATCCTGGCCAATTGAGCTTAAATTGCACTGATCGTACAAGATGATATTAGTATCATCCTGGATGATAATGTCGACAACTTGCATTAATGAGCTCATTTTGAGATCTTCTATTTAAGCTATGACATGA